ATTTATTTATTTATTTATTTATTTATTTATTTATTTATTTATTTATTTATTTATTTATTTATTTATTTATTTATTTATTTATTTATTTATTTATTTATTTATTTATTTATTTATTTATTTATTTATTTATTTATTTATTTATTTATTTATTTATTTATTTATTTATTTATTTATTTATTTATTTATTTATTTATTTATTTATTTATTTATTTATTTATTTATTTATCTCTGAGTGGAGAGCAGCAGCTATCAACCATGACGTCCCCTTCCTTGCTGTCCCAAGTTGCAGCCTATGAGGATTCAGTTGGTGCTCATTTGGCAACCCTGCTGCAGTCAGATCAACACTCCGTTGTCATTTCATCTGCTAAGTAAGACTGAAAACAGATGAGACTTCAGTTTAAGAAGTTGGACTTTTTAGTGAAAGGAAACAGTGTAATGAGTAGTTTTCAAAAGAGGACTTTATATGTCTCTGAAGTCATTGTCAGTTTCTTTTATCTGTATCTAAAAGGAAAGTTCTATCTTGTTTGGAAAAAGTGTGCCATAACATACGTTAGATTTTAGTTTTCTGTTGATAAGGATTAGTAGACAGGAGATGGAAAGTTTTTAGGCAGCAGCTGACCCTATTTCCAGAGTCCTTTGCGAGACAATCAAATCCCTGATAATGAAAGTGGGCAAGAGTTGGGGAGACTCGTCAGAATCACAAGATGGAGCCGCATCATCAGAGGATTCGCTAACAGCCAAATGTGCGGTGCTCAACGACAAGCTAGACCTGCTTCTCCGTGCCTTGCATGAAGAGAGTATAGCCTCAATGTCCACTGTCAGTAGTGTGCAGGAAGATTCATCTTTTGTAGATGAGGTAGAGAAACTGGGGTCTTTAACTATCTGAATGTATTGAAATCTTGTGGTACATACTTTTTATTTGTCTCTTTTTTCTCCTCCTCCCCCTTCTCCTCCTCCTCCTTCTCTTCCTTTTCCTCTTCTACCACCGTCTGCTCCTCCTCTCCTCTATCTCCTCCCCTTTATAGTTCAGGAAGCAATACTCACGAGAGAAAAACCCCTTGGTTGCAGAGCCCTGATACGAGTGTTGATCTGGAAATTGCTGAAAGGACCAGTTTGTGTAAGGAAGAAAAGAATATTTCTAATATTCACCAAAGAAAGAAGACCAAAACGGTATGGAAATAATTCTGTTTTGATGTTAGATCTGTTGCCAAGAGTTGAACTGAGGACTATTACATATTATTATTATCATTATCATTATTATTATTATTGTTTTTTTTTTATGGAAGCAGAATATAAAAGCAGCAAAAGATAATTTATTTAAGATAAGATCAGTGGTCACATAACCACAACCTCATCTTTCACATGTTGAAAGTAACCAAACACCTTACCTTCTTACAGAAACACTTTATAGAGCGAGATGCTTTAATGTCTAGAGCGAATAGCCTGAAAAAGGCTGTCAGAGAAATCATAGAACACACCGAGAGAGCCGTTGACAGCCAGAATGAACAGACCTTCATCCGACAGCAGCCACCCACTATCAGGCTCGAGCCATCGGAGGATGACCCCTCACAGGAAATACAAGCTCCGACTATCACACACTCAGGGTTACAGGTAAACAAAGAGGAGGGTGTTCTTGGAAAGTATTAGATAAGTGTTTGATTTATCTTTAAGTAGGATAATAAGATAAAAGGAACATCTCAGAAATGAGGAAACTGTTGATATCAAAAAGCACCTTATATCTTGTAAATGAACCTTAGATCTAACTGATTTTCCATCTAGTTTTGTTTCTGTATAACTTTTTTATTGTAAAATTGTCTAGTTAAAAGCTGGTAGGATGAACTATGTAAAAATTGGATTAGGATTATACAAATTAGTGATACAAAAGCAGATATTCTTACCATGGGATTCCTCAGGCTGTTATTGATATTGATTAATGATGAATAGCTGATTTATTTATGGATGGAGAGTCTTACAACGAAAAGAACCAGTCTATTTGCAAATTCTTGAAGGGAACAAATGGTAGTATGTAATACTGTTTCTAGTTTATGTAGGTCCTTAGAGTGCTTGGTAGACACACCTGTATGATAGAATTTCACTCATCCTTTCATTATTTTATTATTCAGTTACCTAAAATTAGATGAAAGAGAAATTAAGTGCACATTTCCCTGTAACATCTTCGTATATATAGAATATTTTTGGTTATATCTGTTTTGTTGCATTTGAACTGCAGGAACATGTATAGTGTATATAATATGTACTCTGCTCTGTTTTCTTATTTATTGATTTTCCCTTCCACTTAGATTTGTATGTATTGATTATTATTGCTCATATTATTGCATTTTATTAACATAAATCCTTATTTATTTTGTACTGTAGCTCTGCCATTGACAGCACATGTATTTATTTTTTATATTGACACATTTGCATATTCTTCCAAGTATGCATGTGGAAGTAGATAAATGGTAACTTATATTGTGATTCCTCTTGTAGGTCCTGCCCA